AATGCACCTAGTTCAGAGTCCACAGTATCATGATAATTTCCAGAGTCGGACCGTGGACGTGGTACATTCCCAGACGTTACGCCGGCATCGTCAATGAGCTTTGCCGGTCTTAGCACCACACTACAACTCATCGAAGTGGCAAGTGAAACCGATCCTTTGACCAATTATCTGCTAAACAATTGTGGTATCTCTCCTGCCCTGGGCTACTCACCAATTTAACTGTGGCATGGTGTGCTTTTTTTAGCGGATTTCATGAGAACTCTTCAAACCTCACGCTGGCTTTCTCATACCCTCATCGCGCAATCCCTTTCCAATATATCTTATCAGAGTCTCTCTCTTGCCCCGTAGCATCCACTTCCTACCTTCATGGTTCATGTATTTCACTTGACCCCTGCCACCCTATCTATACTACTCGAAGCGTTATGTCTCAAGCCTTTGATGCATGCATACTCGCCTCGCTGAGTAGGTCCCTATAAATCAGGATTCTCAAGCTGGATAGGAGACTAACTTGAGGCTAAGGATCTTGAGTAATTCACATGCTCAAGTATATGCTTTATGGACCACGTCTATGATCAAGCACATCTACTGTTAGCCAACTAGCCCTAGTCTCCGCCGCATCTATCGTGCTTCTATCCATAGTGTCAAGTCTTTGACTTCTTATGACCTAGTCTCTTGTGTGCCAACCTACAAATGGTGTGGTTCCATTTGTTTTGATTAGGCTTACTGTAGACGTCTCCTCTTGGCTCCTGATTGTCCTTTTCTGGTCCCCTTGCGATTTATTTTCTTAAAATTAAAAATGTTAACCTGATCGAGTTGTCTTGTTATTTCTGCTATTACTGTTGTCTGGCCTTCTCCGAGTTTGTTTAGCCATTGCGTAAAGTTTTCACCAGTCCTGCCTTCTTTAAGTCGTCTGCTCATTAGATTTATCTCGGTCAGTATATCAATGGCCTCTCGGATCTTGCGTCTTCTCCTATTCTCACCTTATGCAGTCAGCATTTCTGTCGATTTCGTGTCCCGTTCGTGCAATGTGTTCAGCTATTTCGGATCTAACCGTATCCATGCTTTTGCAGAATCTTTGATATTCGTTGATTCATTGGCCGGTTTTTCTTCCTGTTATACCGATATACTTCTGCTCACAGTTACCGAATTTGATGTGATAAACTCCCGAGCAATCAAGTTTGTCAGTATTCTCTTTTTGCGTCGGCAGATTGGTGAAAATGTATTTTTTATCACCTTTATATTACATTTTCTTGGTAACTTTCTCAATCTTTGCCTCAGTTCACAGGAGATCAGGCATATCCACTTTTGGTTGCTCTCCTGATTCCTGATCTTATTTTCGTATAATCAGTGTTGAAATCTGCTCTTTATAACCTCTACATTTTTTTCTATACATTCTCTGGGGTACCCGTTACTAAGACAAATCCATGTCAGTTTGTCCAACTTTTCGTCGCAGAACTCAGTATCCGTTAATCTTAAGCTTTGATGATTAAACTACTCATTCCGATCTTTAGTCTATAGCTATGATGAGACTGGAAATTGAGGATTATTCCCGCATATGAATTCTTTCTGAATAGTCTCCTCTTGAGTATTCCGTTGGAACGAATTACCTCATTATCCAGGAAAGGTAGTCGTTTATCCTCCATCTCTATTGTGAATTTAATTCTTTCATCAAGTTGAGGAATTCATCCAAATTTTCCTTACCATGCCACCAAAGTTCGAAGTAGTCATCTAAGTATCGCATAGGCACTCTTAGTTGCAGTGGTGACTTCTCGAATTCCCTTTCCACCTTGTCCATGTACATATTTTTCAAAAAAGATGAGTGTGGAAAACCCATTGGCAGTCCAAATATTTGCTCGTAGCTACTGCCCTTAAATTTACAATTGTTTATTTCAGCACCATTTCAACAACGTTTTATTTGGAGAGAATTATCCTCGATATTCTTATTGTCATCATATACTCATCTCTTACCTGTGACTTAACTTATTTTCCCATACAAGATATCTATAATCACTTTTTTAATTCTTATCCTACTCTGACTATAATATTTGTTTAATTTTTTTCATCCAAGATTCGGTAATGTAGAAAACATTTATCGTAAATTTAATAACTAAATTGTTTTATTAATCAAGTACTGTTGGAGGTCTTTGGTGAGAAGAAGCTCGAGAGCTTCAATGAAATTTACGCAAGTTATACCATCTAAAAATGTCAAAAGGGCCCTGCGAAAACCCAGTTACAGGAAATTAAAAATTCAAATATCCGATATAAGTCTTCCACCTTTGGCATGTATTTGTTACAATGTTGTCTAATGTGAATTTGCAGAATCCCACCTTCTCCACTGGCCATTTCGAATGCGTTGGAATGATCCAACCCCCTAAACGCTACCATTGGTACAATATAAATTGGAAGGATGTAGCGTAGAAGTCATATAGAATAAGATGT